TGTTTACCTGAATGATTGTCGAGATGGGTATTTTGTCATAATTTTATGTGTATGTGTCTGTTCAGAGGATTCAGAAGAGGATTCAGTTCGGTGTTTGCGTGCCGTCTGAAACGTGTGTGCGCACTTCACTTCGGCTGTGCGTGTAGAGAACAGCGCGCGAGTAACAAATCGAGTTCCCTTTCGCCTTTTCTCTGGAATTGTTTAAAATTCGCTTGCTTGTGTAAATACGAACATATATATATATATATATATGTGTGTGTGATTTTTCTTTTCTATTTTTTTTTTATATAATTTTATTTTATTTTTTTTCATTATTTTACATGTATTTTTAGATATTTATTCTTTAGCAATCTTAAGTCTTAGTGCTCTTAGACTCTTATTTTTTTAATTAATTAAATATTTATTCTTAGTGCTTTTCAAAGTATCTGTGTGTGTATGTGTATATATATATTTTTTTTCCCTCTATTTTTTATAATTTTATATATTTTTTCATTAGTTTAAATTCATTTTAAATTATTTATTCATAGTGCTCTTAAGTCATTCAGTGTTTTCCCCATCTTTATATTTATTTGTTTTTAAAAAATATATATATTTTTTTCTTTTATTAACTTTGTATTTATTTTATTTAAAAATGTTCAAATTGTTTCTTACATAATTTTATTATTCTATTTTGATGGGTATGTTTTATTTTTTTATTATTAAATTAGATTTATTTTTAAAAATGTATTTTTGTTTGTTTGGTTTTGGTGGGAACTTTATTTTATTATTCTATTTTCATATGTTCAATAATGTTCAAGTTTTTGGTAAAGTCACCAAATTATTTTATTTCTTCTAGTGTAAGAGTCTGTTAATTCTGATCCGTTCTTGGTGCTTTTAAAAGTCAGTGAGATTTTTTCATCTTTATTTTATTTTTTTCAGACTTCTTTTTTTTTTTTACATAGTGTTATTATTTTTCTGGGCATTTCATCTTTATTTTTGTTTTGTTTTAAATTTTTAAATGTATTTATTTTTGGTGTGTACTTCATTCTATTTTATTTTTTTGTGTTCAGTAATGTTCAGGGTTTTGGTCAAATCACTTGAGTTATCTTATTGCTTTTAGTATAACAGATGGTTAATTCCATTGTCTTACTGCTCTTAAAAGTAATTCAGTGTGTTAACTTCATAATTAACCAGCCAAGATAAACCGTGCTAAATCCATTAATTCTGTTTTAATGAGGACGACTCTAAACTCCAGGGCATTCATGCTTAGTTTAACACAAACTGTCACCACTAATACAGCCAGTATCCTGCAGTTTCAGGACGCGCACATGTGCAGAGCTTCAGTTCATTAGGACACCCCCCGTTTGCCACAGGCTGCGTTTGTGTTCATGCATCCCGCTGGGAACGTGTGGCGGAAACGTGGAGTCCATTCACACAGCAGCACGTTCAGAGACGCGGGGAGTTTGTGTTCCTGCAGGAAGCGGCTCTCATTCAGAGATTCAGCAGCATCTGCACAGCACATTTATCAACAGACCTCAGCCGGAGTTACACACACACGCATGCAGAGAGACAGAGCGGGTTTTTTGTTTTTTTATGTAGTTACAACTACACTAGTTTGTTTATAGCCATGCTTTGTTACTGTTAGTTTTGTTTGTTTGTTTGTGCTAAAAGCCAGTTGAAAAAAAATATACACTAAATTTTTTTTTAGAAATTAGAAACAGTAAACAAGCCTGGGTGATTTATTTATTTGTTTTTTATTTTACAAATGTAATATTTTTAAATTGTTTAAACTTTATTTTAGTTTGTAATTTTGAATTACAAAATTGCATATTATAAATAATATAGGTATAATAAAATTAATTAAATAAAAATCAAAAATAGTAAGTGTGATTACATTTGTAAAATGTGTATATTTAAACATTTTCTAATTGTTTTACATAAGTTTATTATTTTTATTTTAGTGGGTATTTCATATATGCGATTGTGTATTTAACTTGATAATATATATATATATTTCATATATCCTTCTATTAATAAAATTATATATCATTTATATCATGGATTAGATATAAAATATTTTAATAAAATTAATTTCTCTTCAAAATTCAGTGATTTAATTTTTTATGTATTCATATCCTTCAGTTCATTTTAAGATGATCTGCATTGGCTGGCTAACTGGCTGACAGTCATGCGTCTGCTGTTGTCTGGATGTTGTCCTGCTCTCACTGATCTCTCATTGTCTCTGCTCGTCTGAGATGTTTTACTCAGAGAAATGCCCAGTCAGGACTTTCAGCTGGCAGCGGGACGCTTACTGGAAACGCCAGGCGCTCGAATGAAAACGGATCCATTATAATTGCATAATGGTTTGTTAAAGGCCAAAGACGTGGCTTGTGTTTCTGAGGCCTGTGTTGACATTGGAGGTTTATTGTTATTGTTTCCATCTCATAACTTTGTAGAATTCACTGCTTTTTTTGCATGTCACACATTATTGCAAAATTGAACGTCTGAAAATAGTTAACATTTGCGATGGTTTCGATATTTCATGGTGCCAGTGTCTGAAGGCAAAATTGAATCCTGGTTTTTCTCAGACCTCCCATCGCAACAAGACTAGAACAAGAGCTGTAATGAAATGCTTAAACTGAGCAAAGATTACATGTTGCATATTAGTTATTTTTATATTTCATTTTTATTTGTTTATTTTATCCTTTACATTTTTTCTTGGAATTAACTTTTTTTTTTTTTAGATTAAAAAATATATACATTTAGATTTTTTTTTATTGTTATTTCATATTTTATTTTCTAATTTTATATTGTAAAAATTTTACTTTTATTTTTGTTTGTTTTTCCTAGGTGGTACTTGTTCATTTTTTAAGAGGGTTTTATTTAAATTTATTTATAAATTATCTTTTAACTCATTCATTATTTTCTCATATTTAAATTAGTCTGGCATCAGTGCAAAAAAAAACTGGTATCAAGCAACAGGTAGTTCAGACTGATTTATGAGTGAATAAACCACACGTAATGTCATTGTAAAATCATTGTGATTGCATTTGTAACTGTTTCTCTCACGTCATGTGTTGATGACAGATCAACAGAGGTCACATGACCACAGAGGCCAAGCGTGCGGCGAAGATGGAGAAGAAGATGAAGATTCTGCTGGGTGGCTATCAGTCGCGGTCCATGGGTCTGCTCAAACAGCTCAGTGAACTCTGGGATCAGGTGGAACAGGCCAACATGGAGCTCCACACCTTCCAGGAGCTGAAGAAACAGGAAGACCACGCCATTCCACGCAGACAAGAGGTGAACAGCTTTAACTCTAAAGCCTGTGTTATACTTTCCGCGTCCGCGAGCCCGCTAGGGTCCACTATGGTATGCGTGACGTAAAAATCGTCATCGGAGAGTGTGCGATGGGAGGCTCTGCGCGGAGATCCGCGTGCCTCCCATTTTATGTGGTCAGTAGGCTACTGCGCATGCGCAGGCTGTGTGAATAAGCCCGTTGCTACTCGAACCTGTACAATCCATCGATAAAACAATATAAAGACAGCCAGATGTGCAATAACTCTGGGCAATTCTTTGTTCACATGTTTGTTTATTGTTCAAGCCGATCTACTACGCATGTATGGAACACGTCCGCGGAGCGGACCATCAGCGTATGCTTTCGGAAGTATAAATACAAGTAGTCCGCGCTGTCCGTGTACGAGTCCGGATTGCTCATGCGGAAAGTATAACACAGGCTTAACTCTGTCTGTCTGTCTGTCTAGTCCTCATTTCTGTCTGTCTGTCTAGTCCTCATTTCTGTCTGTCTAGTCCGTCCTCATTTCTGTCTGTCTGTCTAGTCCTCATTTCTGTCTGTCTGTCTAGTCCTCATTTCTGTCTGTCTGTCTAGTCCTCATTTCTGTCTGTCTGTCTAGTCCTCATTTCTGTCTGTCTGTCTAGTCCTCATTTCTGTCTGTCTGTCTAGTCCTCATTTCTGTCTGTCTAGTCCTCATTTCTAAGTTGCTTTGGATAAAAGTGTCTGCTAAATAATTAAATGTAATATTATAAACTATAATATATAATTGAATGGTTTGTTTTTGGGTTCTAGATGTTTTATTTTGTATAGGTTTTTCTTTTTTTTTCATTTGGCTTTATTTATATTTTACTTTGTTTATGTGGTTAAACGTATACTATTTTGGATATGTCTACGCCTTTTTACTGTTAATATTTTATTTTATTTTTTTCTTAAATCAAAAATATATATATAATTTGTTTTTTTTTGTTTTTTGTTTTTTTTTTAAGAATAAACAAACCGGGGGGAAATATAAAAGTGTTGAATAAAAAAAAGTATTGTTTTATTTTATTTATTTTATTATTTTTATTTTTTTAAGTTTTTGTGTTTTGGAGGTTTTATGTTGTGTATAGTATAGTATTTATTTATTTAAAATTTGCTGCTATTATTTTATTTCCTTTTTTTTTCCGTTTGTATGTGGTTACAAGTATTTCACTCTTTTGTGTGTGTGTTATGTTTTGCTACTGCTAATATTGTTTTTTTTTTGGTGCTGGGGGAAATTATATATATATATATATATATATGTGTTCACATTTACAACTCTGCTCTGCTTGTTTGCTGTGTAAATAAGGGGGTCTGAATACTTTCCGTACCCACTGTATATGCTTTGTTTCTATTGATATTGTTTTATTATATTGTTCTCTTCCTAAAAACTAATAACCAAATCTTGGCGGGGGGGAATCTGTTACTACATTACATGTTTATACTATATCAACACTTTGTTGTTCCTGTCCAGGCCCTGAGAGAGGACGTCCAGAGACAGCAGGACAGAGAAAAAGAGCTGCAGCAGAGATTCGCTGACCTGCTGCTGGAGAAGCAGACGCTTTCGCAGAAGTTTTGAACGGGACATTTATCCCAAACATCTCTGCACCTCCTGTAGTGCTGTTTATGTGCTCATCCCGCTTCAGCGTGCTTTACTGTCTGGATCCCCGTGTTTCTGCTGTAATCAACTGCTCTCAGCTTCTTAATGTTGACTTTGTGTTTCTGCTGCTGTTCACAAGAACCGCCGGGATTTCATTCACAGAATTTTGTTTTTAATGTTTTATGTTCATATTGACCTTGTAAGTGTAAATATCGTCTGTTTTGCGGTATGGATTTTCCCATGTCAAGCCATTTTTAGGTTTGTGCTGAATATGAGATGCTCCTTTTCAGGTGTAAATTGGAATAATGACTTGCATTGCAAATGTACATCATTTACAAAATAAATCATCAGTGCTGAGTTAATCTTAGCTTTGAATGTCTGTTTTGTGAATGAATGATTGGACACAAAATATGTAAAATTAACACACACCCCCATATAATTTTTTGTCTATGTGGTTACAAGTACTATTTTATATAATTTATTTATAATTGAATCCATATTCACACATTTGTGTCCAAATACTTGTTTTGGTTTATATTTGATAAATAGGTGCTGATGTTTCATGCTCAGTTCAGGTTCAGTTAATAAGTGGCTGTTTTTGCTGAAATGAACCTGAAAGAATCAACAATGAACTGTGACTGTGTTCTTCTGCTCTTGAGGGGCCGTGAACTCCATGCACTTCATGTTCACTTCATGCAATCCAACATTTCTTCACTGTAAGGTCCCATTGTTCGACAAGATTGAAAAATCTCGAACACTTTGAGTTGTTCTGGAAGTGAACTGGTCCGAATGAAAGTGGTGTGATTGGAAAGTTCTGTGTGGAAACGACACAACGCTATCAGATGTCTGTGAGACGCAGCGTTTGTCTGAATGCCATTGTTTTCAAACGCTTTTAATAAATGTAGTGCTGTGTGGAGGGCACAGAAACCATTGTTTTTCTGGTTCAGTTCGATATGAGTATTTCCAACCATCTTTACCTCTATAAAGCACTTCAACGCATGTGCTGGTATTTACATTTTAGTTTAAACTCTTTAGTTGAAGTGTCCAATAAGAATCACTTTAAAAGCGTAGCTGATGTATTTTTTAATAAAACAAAATTGCAAAAGATCAACAAGATCGTAATTTATGTTCCAAAGATGAACAGGTTTGGAACGACATGAGGGTGAGTAATTAATGACAATTTTTATTTTTGGGTGAACTATACCTTTAAAAAATATCTGAATCTGAAGTGCATTTGATCACATGCTCAGCTGAACAAAGGCATTTTCACACAAGATGTTGTTCTTCTGCTCTTGAGGGGCCGTGAACTCCATGCACTTCATGTTCACTTCATGCAATCCAACATTTCTTCACTGTAAGGTCCCATTGTTCGACAAGATTGAAAAATCTCGAACACTTTGAGTTGTTCTGGAAGTGAACTGGTCCGAATGAAAGTGGTGTGATTGGAAAGTTCTGTGTGGAAACGACACAACGTTCACACATTTGTGTCCAAATACTTGTTTTGGTTTATATTTGATAAATAGGTGCTGATGTTTCATGCTCAGTTCAGGTTCAGTTAATAAGTGGCTGTTTTTGCTGAAATGAACCTGAAAGAATCAACAATGAACTGTGACTGTTCTTCTGCTCTTGAGGGGCCGTGAACTCCATGCACTTCATGCAATCCAACATTTCTTCACTGTAAGGTCCCATTGTTCGACAAGATTGAAAAATCTCGAACACTTTGAGTTGTTCTGGAAGTGAACTGGTCCGAATGAAAGTGGTGTGATTGGAAAGTTCTGTGTGGAAACGACACAACGCTATCAGATGTCTGTGAGACGCAGCGTTTGTCTGAATGCCATTGTTTTCAAACGCTTTTAATAAATGTAGTGCTGTGTGGAGGGCACAGAAACCATTGTTTTTCTGGTTCAGTTCGATATGAGTATTTCCAACCATCTTTACCTCTATAAAGCACTTCAACGCATGTGCTGGTATTTACATTTTAGTTTAAACTCTTTAGTTGAAGTGTCCAATAAGAATCACTTTAAAAGCGTAGCTGATGTATTTTTTAATAAAACAAAATTGCAAAAGATCAACAAGATCGTAATTTATGTTCCAAAGATGAACAGGTTTGGAACGACATGAGGGTGAGTAATTAATGACAATTTTTATTTTTGGGTGAACTATACCTAAATATCTGAATCTGAAGTGCATTTGATCACATGCTCAGCTGAACAAAGGCATTTTCACACAAGATGTTTTAATGGATATTTATTATTTAATTCTTCAGTTTTTTTGTACATTTTTGGATGTTTTTTTTTTTTTTTGGAAGGGGCATTTTCATAATT